CTAGTTTAATGAAGAGGATGAGGGGGGACATGATAGTAGTGTTCCAATATCTCAGGGGCTGCCACAAAGAAAAGCCTGAAGGCAGGACAACTAAGGAGAAACTTCCTGACAGTTAGAACAATTAACCAGTGGAACAACCTGCCTCCAGAAGCGGTGAATGCTCCAACACTAGAAGTTTTTAAGAAGAGACTGGACAGCCATTTGTCCGAAATGGTATAGGGTTTCCTGCCTGAGTAGGGGGTTGGACTAGATGACCTCCAAGGTCCCTTCCAACTTTATTATTATTATTATTATTATTATTATTATTATTATTATTATTATTATACAAACTTTAAAAGTTTATTTTATGTAGTTTTTGGCTACATATTGTAAGGCTATCTGGGCAAATGAGGGGATGAATTGGCGGTAAAAGTTTGCAAAGCCCAGGAAGCTTTGTAGTTGCTTTCTTGTGCGGGGTGGTGCCCAATCTAATACTGCTTTGACCTTCTCTGGGTCCATTTCAATGCCCTGGGGGGATATGCGATAAACTAGGTAGTCTATCCTTTCCTGGTGGAATTCGCATTTTGAGAGTTTGGCATATAGGTGGGCAGCTCGCAGCTTCTTTAAAACCGCTCTGACAAGGTTGACATGTTCCTCTTTTGTTTCGGTGAAGATAAGAATGTCGTCCAAGTAAACCAGGACCCCCTTAAACAGGTTCTCCCTTAGAACATCATTGATTAATTGCATAAAGACTGCAGGGCCCCCTTGTAATCCAAATGGCAAGACTTTGAATTGATAGCACCCCATGGGGCAGTTAAATGCAGTCTTCATTTGTCCCCTTCCATAATTCTCACGCGATAGTAAGCTTCCCTTAGATCTAGTTTAGAAAAATTTTTCCCTTTCGAGAGGTGTGACAGCATGTCTTTCATGAGGGGTAGAGGGTATAGGTTGCTTTCACTGATTGTATTCAGGGCCCTATAATCCACGCAGAAGTGTAAAGAGCCATCCTTCTTCTCTCTAAAGAGGACCGGGGCAGCCACTTTAGGCTTGGCTGGCTCAATGAAACCTCTCTCTAGGTTTTTTTTAATAAATCTTTCCATTTCCTCCTTCTCCTTTGGGCTCATGGAGTATAATCTGGGCTTCGGGAGTTTTGCCCCAGGCTTGAATTCAATGGTACAGTCTGTGGGTCGGTGGGGGGGGGGAGCTCATTTGCCCTCTCCTCACTGAAAACTTCAGCAAGGTCTCTATATTCCTCTGGTATTTCTGTTAATCTTTTTTCCTCTCCTATGGATGCTTTTTCTATTCTTGATTCTGGTAACCTCCCTTGGGGTTTTAATTGCATAGGGTCCCCCTTCGGGAATTTGATTTCTGTCGTCCTCCAATTTACCCAGGAGTTCCATTTTTTCAACCATTCCATCCCTAGAATCATTGGGCATTCCATGCCTGGGGTCACCACAAACGTTATGTCCTCTTCATGTTTGCCCAGGGAGAGGTGTATTGGTAGAGTGGCTAGGGTAGCTGGCACCCCCCCTGCTATGGATCCATCTAACTGGACAAATGAGATTGGTTGTTCCAGTCTCCTCAATGGGATGCCCAGATTCCCCACGAGTGTTGGGCTAATGAGGCAGCAGGTGCGGGCTTTGTCACTGGGAATGTCCTGCCCGTATTCCTCCATGTAGCTGAGGACTTGGGTTAGGAAAAACCCCAAGCGTGTTGGCTCCCCTTTGAATTTCACCTCCAACGGTGGACGTCTTGGAATGGATCGGTGCCTCCGTTGTTGGTGGTAGTGTCTTCCGTCCAGATTGCCAACTGTGGTCCGGTAGGGGGGGGCTACTGGATCAGTAGATGTACCTGGGGTTGCAGGTTCCACGTCCCCCTCGGTGTCTCTCCCTTTGCGGCTCCAGGAGTTGGGGAGGCCGTAGGGCTCAGGATTCTCCTCTCCTAGGGAGCTGAGAGTTCTCTTCATCAGGTCAATAGCTTTCTCTAGGATCCAGTCTGAGTACGGTGCCCAGCTTCCTCCCTCTTCACTTGAGTGCAGGGATTTCTCCATCTCCTGCTTCCATTCTGGTTGCTTGGTCCCCCGTCTCAGGGTCACCTTTCTTGATTCCTTTCCCCACTTACTTTTCTTTCCAACGCCCATTGACCAGCGAGGCTTGTGGTCCCGTGTCTCCACCACTTCTTCCCTGAGCAATCTGACCTCTCGGATCCCAACATCTGGCAAGGTTCCAACTGGGTCAGCGGCTCTCTTTCCAGGGAGTTTTTCCCCTCTCTTGCTCCATTGTCTGACATGGTAAATTTTTGCAAAATCCCCCGGCAAGGATCTCCCTTCCAGGTGGATTAATTTTGCAAGTCCTGTCTAATGTAAGGACCCACCCCACTTTGCATCTTAAGAAGACAGAACTCTTGGAATAATTCTTCCAACAGGAATCCTTTATTAAGAAGAAGTGGTTGCAGGCGTGCTAGACAGGACTTGGGGTCCAAGCTCTCCCATTCAAGGTTTTAAGGGATTCCCCAGTAGTCCCACCCAATCACCCCCCCTTCCAGTGATAGTTTCAGGTATCACAATTCCACCCCCTTTTTTCTTTCTTCCGTCTGGATGGAGACTTCAGATAAACTACATGAAAGGTAAATAACCTTCTTTGTTATGGTAAGGTTCTTTGGTGCTAACTCTTTGAGGTTGCAATAAACACATTCAGCTCCTTAGAAGTCTACTGAAGGAAGTGAGGGCCATAAAGCCCCTTTGTTCTCCCCCTTCTCTCCCTCTTATGGCAGAATCCAGAGAAGGCAGAATTGGGGGTTTCTATATTTGATAATTAAAGATGAAATATAATTGGATTCTGACACATATATAGTATTTTTTATTCAGGTTATTAGACTTAATTAAAATTGCCAAAACATATTAAGAGTTTAAAATAAATATTTCTATTCATAAATATAATTTCAAATGTGGTGTAGCCATAGGTTATGCCCATCTAGAGCTCTAGATTGAGAACTGATTAACAGTTTTTCAAAGTTTAACTTTAAGGCATAAACTTAGCTTTATCTAAGAAACAGTGTTTCAGCTCTTCCAAGAATATGATAATTGTTCTATAAATGGATAAGTTGTCTTGGAAGGATAAATTCCAATACAAATCATTTTGTAAAGTATTTTTGGAATATTACCTCATTCTAATTTGTTTGCTGATGAGGTAAGTATAAAGTTTTATTAAAACATTTATAAAGCAGTTTGCCAGATTATCCAATTTCTGCCAAACAGCAAAATTAAAAATATATAGGATAACATTTAATATTTTGATGGATTATACTGATCCTTTTAGGCTATAATTTATCCCCTTACTTAGGGAGTAAGCCTCATTGACTTCAGTTCAATATGCTCATGTAGAAAATTTAGATGACTGCATTGTCAGCTCACTTCACATCAGGCAGATTGAGTCGAAAACTGAATACACTGCAGTAAGTGTAGTGGTATTTTCTTTGTCATTTTAACAGTGCAACCTACCTACACTCTCAAGGCTATGATGAGACTGCGATACAGGATTATACTTCACATTTGTGTCTGAATTTTAAATGTTGTTTTATATGAAAAATTATTTTAATAAAATTATCAGAAAATAGTATGAAACCTGGTATTAAAAATATAATGCTGTTTTAAGTGATCCCTTGATTTGACATTACAAAATAGTAGAGATAAATATCACCTAAATGATGAACAATGATTTGCTTTCCATAGATAGTGTCAGAAATATTTAAACTTTATGATTTATTAGCAAATTTCCTCACTAAAGCTTACAATTTAAAAATATTTTAGGCTCAGATTATAAATTATATTACTGAATACACAGAAATGAATAAAAAAATATTAAATTTTACGCAAGAACAAAAAGAAACTTATTTAAAAATAATATATGAAACATAAACAGAAATTCTAGCTAAAACTACAAGAAACAATTGTACAATTTCAAAAATCACATGTTCATATTGTATTTGAAATTATCCTATAGTTGATGTAATTAGAGCAGGGTTTGCAATGGTCAATTTCATTTCTTCAGGATTAGAACTCTGTAAAACATCTCCATTTTCTTGAAACAATCTTTTTACATCAGCTATTAAATGATTTGAAGGACTACTTAGAAATTTAAGAATATAATTTCATCATATAAATAACCAACAAAGCATTTATTTATATTATTTATCCATTAATTTCATATTTATTTTATTTATTAAATTCCTATACTTTCCATCACACTTGCATCATTCATATTATAAATTCCTAATGTCAATTAATTAAGTTACTAAAATTTGTTACAAAAGGCTATTTTTACGCACCCTTAATTACCTGCAGATAGACATCAAGATAAACCACAGTTTATCATGATAGTAAAGAACTATAGGCAGATATGTACTTTTTTGCTTCAGTGCAGCCATAAGGAGAAACCAGAAACTTGTGCATCTCTTTGTCATTAACAAGTTTAGAATTACACAAATATTCCTCCACTATTCTTTGTTGAAACAAGCCAACTTTATGAGTCATGTTTTTAAATTGCTTTATGACAAACTTAGTAAAGATCAATTAAGGTTGTTGGATCTGAATGATATGGTAGATTGCAATCTATACAAAAGTGAAAACTACTAAATATTCTTCAAAGCTGCATCATAATTGTGATGAGTGGGGGTGGGAAGAAATATATGAATATATAAAATATATAAATATATGAGTATATAAAATATATAAATATATTTTTCTTGTGTTTTCTTTTGTTGCACTTGCATTTTGGTCTGTGACTGCAAAATAAAAATTATTATTATTATTATTATTATTATTATTATTATTATTATTATTTATGAGTTATTTTGATTCAATTACTTTTTCTAATCATAGTAACTATCTTTTTTTCTTGTATCTGAACAGAGGCTTTTCTTTTTCTCCTTAGGTCTTTCTTAAACAATCTGTTATCCTGAGATAACAATTTCCAAATTCTTTTTAATCTCTTATTTGTTAAAGAGAAAATGAGAGGTTGAAGTAAGGGACCACTACAATATCTACATTTTACTGAGTATTGCAAATGCAACACTGGCAAAATCAGGGGCTCTTTACTCACATCTTTCATCGTGAAACAACAGCAAGGCTACCATCTCCGTTGGATAGAGTTCAGAGGTCCATAGAGCAACACAGTGATCTGTGAATGACCCAAGATAATCAGCAATGGAGCTTCCACAAATGCATGTATGGATCCACTGAAGTTATGTGGTACTTTTTATAGCATATGTTTAAACTGCTAACTTGTGTCCCTAAGTCCTAATTATAATTCAGAATAATTATTTCATTTTGAATATTACAGTTATGGTTTCACCACATTTTCAGTATTCCTTGAAAAAAGTATTCACTTAGCTTTTATTTAATTTCAGTGGTAATATTATGTAACCAAATATCTCTGAGCAGCAATTTGACAAAACCCTATTCATTGTATGATTGGCTAAGGTAGCCACATGATTCATTCAAGAAAGCAGATAAATGATGCTTAACCCAGGAGAAATAATTATCCTAGGAAAATACAATAGTTGCAGAAGTGATTTTTGGAAGAACTCTATGTGAGATTCAACCCTAGCAAACTTGCTGATTTAATTCATAAGTCCCCCAATGTACTTGAAAAATATTTAATCTCCCTTAGTAAAATAGTATATTTTTGTCTCTCATTTTGGCTTTAAAAATCACCCTTCACATCTAGATATCATGATGATCATATCATGAGGATGGGATAAACATTTATCAAGTCTCCATGAAATAACATTCAAATTGCATCAAGTGTCCCCTATATCTACCATCCCAAGCAACTGGTATTTAGGACTTGGGCCAAAAAAAAGACAACACTATCTAAGTAGAGCTAAGAGAGGGGCTGAAGGAAGTATCCAACCATTTAAAATTGCAGCAGCATATGCATAATCTGTAATATTTCAAGTAGTCATTGGTTTAAAGAAAATAAAAGTAGTATTTGCTCAAAGAAGTGTAATTGTAACAAAAATATTGTGCTTATTTAAAAAACAAACAAACCTAGAAATAAATATGGGTCATTGTGAGAAGAGCACTATTACTTTTATTGCCAAAAATACATACATATTCATCTTAAGAAACATCAAGTGAGAAATAAATATTTGTTTCAAATAAAAGAAGTTAGAAGTAACACATTAGCAATGCCTATTTTCATTGTTTTAATAAGCATCAAAAAGTTAATATCAAGTATTAATAAAAGATTTAATCTTAGATTTTGTATATATGAACATGTACATTTGCTTCTTTTAAATATTATAAATATTTAATAATTTATAAAGTTTATGAATTAATATGTGATAAAACAATCACAATCTTTTCAGATTTTTAACATATTTGAAAAGAGAAAAGGGAAAGATGCTGAATATATAACCAATGCAGGAAGATGCAAAATCTTCCTCTTTTAGATCATTGTTTATTTCACTGTTGTAAATTTATCAGTTAAGTTTATGATAATAATATCCACAACCTCCAATATAGTATGCATAGAAAGGTTGTTGGCATAGTAGAGTGAAGATTGTTCTGCTTACATCTGTACAACCTTTTAAGCTACTACAAAGTAATTTAAAAGGGATACTTGCTACTATATAATGATCTTTCTTAATTAGTTACATTATCAATCTATAAGTATTTTGTTCACAAGCAAGAAATTATAGATGTGAATAATTATATAAATGTGTATGGGTGCTTTTCTTTAGAAATTATGCTTAAGATGTAAAGATGCTTTACTAACCTGTAGCGGTCTTTGTTTATCACTATTTTTAGGAGATTTCAGCCCACTTGTCTGTTGTTGTAGGAGCAGCTGCCTGGCTGCCTGCAATGCCTGAAAGTTAAGACAAAATGAAAATAAATAAAAGTTAAAGCATTTTGTCGAAAATGTTTCAGTAGCAATTTGCCTAATGCAAAAAGCAAAACTGCCTTTTCCTATGTAAATAAAAATGTATCTTCTTTAAACACAGCAACAAAAATCCATAGATAGTATGTATATCAGATTTTAAGAAACAAGCATATATCTGCAACAAATTCTCAACGAAATAGCATTAATTTGTATAAAGTGCTTGCAGAGGAAAAATCATAAACCACATCAATAGCCTCATCTCCACAAGAACTTGTCTGTAAGTAAAATGCTCACACCCTTGTAAATCATCACTCAATTTGCATTTTCACTTTACAATGTTAAGTAAAAGCTATAGACTTCAAGTAATACTGGAAACTGTAATTAAATTTGACAAATCAACATCAGATTATCTTGAACGTGAATTAATAAGGACATTCATTGAAGATTAAAAACTGTTTTTGATACTTACAATTCAAAAAGAAATCTCTCATTTGACAAAATAAAGTGGAGTTTTAATGCCAAATAAAATAAGTGGCTTTCATTTGCATTCTCACTAAACTCTGAAATCAGTACTTAAATGATCAGATTGGCTTCTGTAGGTGATAGTATAGTAATCAAAATATAGTATTTAAACTTGTTCATTTAAATTAAGTAAAGTAAAACTTGAACAACAGAATTATACGGAGCTATGCCAGTTACTAGAAAAAGTATTAACTTTAAACAAATGTAGCTGTTACAACTTTAGAATTCCAAAATATTAAACTATATAAACTATTAAGTTTTTTCTACAAAGTACTAGGACACAGAGAGCAATTCAGAATTCAAATATATTATTAGTAGAATTGTATTCACTCTAAAAATTGTCACCAAACTGATAAAGAGTGGTAGTTTTGCTTAGCCACAAATGAGATGATTTTAAGGTAGTTTCCAGTATCCATGACAACAGTTGCTTTGACAAGATGTGCATATGGCATTACACTGCCAGCTGGTGTGAACAATGTTTGAACTACTGCATTGAGATGCTGAGCAAACAGAAAAAGTTGCCACGTCTTAACCCTCGGGAAAGCAGTCGTCCCCTGATCAATTATGAAAAGACAGAGAGAAGGCTGCTACAGTCTGGTTCCATGCAAGTTTTTGAAAAAACAAGAAGACACAACAAACCAAAGTAAACAAGCTACACTACATGCTCTATCACAGCTCCTAAGAACATGGATTTGTCACCTTGTAAAAGGCATTAATACCAGACTGAAAAATGTAACTCCTTTCAGTATAGCTGCAACATTACCACAACATTCTGTTTTTGTTTTTTTATGATTCCCAGGTAATTATAGATTAGCAAGGCAACCAAACTAAAAAGCCATAAATTGAATTCTATATATTGTACCAATTTTTACTTACATCTAAATACCATTTATTTCCTAGAAATATTTTGTTAACAAAACAAAGGAAAGAAAAGATAGACAGCTCCCTTTGACTTGTGAGCCTATATAGTACCATTATCTTCTGAGTTATATTAGTCAATTATTTTAGCAATTATTTATTAAATTGAATTAGTTGAAATTATATTGTCATTGGTGTATTCATAATTTGCAACTGTAACTTAGATCTGTTTTTAAGTTTCTCAGAATCAAAATCTGCTAATATAGTCCAAACATTATATTTATATTATATGAGCTAATTAATGTTACTGATAATGCATATGAAATTCTATGTTTGGATTACAATTGACATGGGAAGTGTGTGGGCATTTGTTTTAGAAAAGAATACCGGTAATAAAAATATGCATTCCCAAATTGGATTTTCAGGGAACTTATCTAGCAGTACTAGTTTGTCTGTAGGCTATTAACAGATTGCAGATTTCTTATCAAATTTCTGCAAAAATATGAATCTTTATAAAATATAATGGAGACATCCATAGAAGACATATCATAAGAACACCAGAATATGAACTGCCCTTCTGAAAAGTCAGATACTTTTATTGGAGACAGAGTTCACACTTCTGTATACCATCACCTTGAAGAAAGAAAATTTCCACCCATTATAAAACATGATGAGGCTTATAAAAAGTGAAAATGGGAAACGGTGGCACACGCATAAAAGGGAAATTGTCATAAAGCAAGTACATTTCTACTACCTATACTGTCATGATTGTACCTGAAGACAGCAGGGATCCTTTGGCATGCTATACGTTTGCTCAGTTATAAGATATTACAAAACTATTTTCAAACTAGGAAAGATTGCTGTTCTGATTTGTTATGGATCTGTGGTTTAAATGAGCAATAAATCAGAGCAGCTTTTAAAAGTATTTTTACAATAGTTTAAATGATTGTAATATATAATTTAATTGACTAAAGAGACAGATATTATGATAGAATAAATCATTAAGAATTCAGAAATAAGCAAATAAAAGCACAGGTATTTAGAATATCAAAGTTTACTCAGATTTTGGTTATGTATTTTTGCAAATCATTGTTAAAATATATGTGTGTGAATTAACATTTTTAGTGCCTAATAAAGTTAGTAACAAAATACAAACAAATGGAATCATCTAAAGCTGTGATATGAGACATACTTATCAGGGAAAATACTTCTCTGATGTGGGTGAGGCTTGTTCTTGAGAAGATGTAGCTTATACTGTATCAATTTGTCAATTATATGAATCTGTATGATTTTTAAAATTTGAGTTATGTCTATATACACAAGCACATTTTTCATGTGCTCCAATTCTTTCTTTTTAGGAATAATGTATACAGCTTTTTAAAAAACAAATTAGTGAAGTTTCTACTTAACATATACAGATTATTTTCTTCTTTTTAAAGATATGTTTTCTCATTTCCTTTTTTCTAAATGGAAACAGATGTCATTTATATTGTTTTGTTAAAAACAGGAATGTTTAACCTATCAGCCTGTTGCATTTGAGATTTAAAATGAAAAATGACATCTATGGTCATTAATATCTTCAATGTATAAACAGCACAGCATGACACATTCTTGAGAGCTGAAGGCTACAAAATCTCTCTGAAACATAAATAACAAAGCACTCAGAATCATATTTGATGTTGATATTCATCTCTGCTGCCTGGGCTTCTTATGAAAATAGATGCAGCCCAAATGGATCTCCTATAATTGGTTTCAGATAGCGGGGTCAGAAGAAATACGATACAAGAAACTATTACATGGAACAGGCGAAACAGGAATGTTTATACAAGCAGTACTCTGTTAAACTGACAATGGGCGTGCACTTTGCAGATAACCAGAAAGGGGGGAAAACGTGTCACAAAAGATTATTTTTATTCTCTATTTTGTTATGAAATATTTATCTTTTACTAGTTTACGTAAAAATAAGCTCATTTAGCAATAATGGTATACGATATCTCAAACCATTTGGAAACATTGACCAATATATTATCGAATTCATAATTTGTGCAAATGGAAAATTACCCCCCAAAATCTAATAACAGTCTTACTTAATTCAAGGAGGGAATTTAAAAAAAAACCAAATTAGAGATGGGGTGGGATGGGAATGAATTTTGTACTGTAAATATGCAAAAATTATGTTTTGACAATAAGCTTTAATTTCCATCTAATAAACAGTAGCTAAAAGTAGGAAGCTTGGTGAATATTTAAAATCTTCTAGAAGAGACATATATCTGGAGAAACTACTGGAGCTAATTTCCAACTAAGTTTACACCTGGCATACTCTGGTTCAATCACTACATAGAAATAAAAGCAAGCAGATTCCATTCAGCTAGTAAAAAATATTACTTGATACTTATTTATTAAACAACAAACATTAAAACAGTTAACTTGCAAAAACAGATGAAAGGGGGAGGTTTGGCAGGTTGAGCCTTCCATTAGAAACCCCGCCAAAGTAGTTTATTGGGGAACGTGATTAATGACATATTACTGGGGTGGGAAGTTCAATTTTGTAACTTTGTAACCTTTGGGAGGGAACTTCAGTCTTTCAAAATTTTCACTTTTGATCGTGCCGATACTTTGTAGCCAATAAATATGTTCTTTAAGGAAACCTCTTGCCTTGGAGTTCTGTTTTTACTGGTCTCATCTATCGGAACCATGACATTAAACCAAGACTCCAATTCATTTTAAAACGTGGGGTCCTGAACCCCGGTCGCCTACCTAAACTTTTGGTAGGACGACACAGACTCAGGGAAGACATCGAGATGGAAAAGAAGGGGGAATCGGCTGCTAGCCTCAGCATGATGGTGGCGGATAGAATGCAGGCTACAGCTCAGGCAGAGAATGCAGCCCCTGCAGCCAGAGTGAGACCAAAAGCCCAGGAGATCCCACTGGAGAGGTTGATGAAGCTGGAAGGAACACTAACCCTTGGAGGGATTTGGCGATCAGATGCTACCCTGCCGTGGAGAAGCACAGTTAAAGTAGCGGAAGCTGAATTCCCATTGATCTCGTCCCACGGATCTTGTTCGCTGGTGCTGAGAAAGAGGAAGCAGCCAGCTTCTTGGGATGAATCAGGGGAATGGGGGTACCTGACTGCCATCCACAGTCATTCCATCAAACGCTTCAGAGAGAAGTTTGATTGACACAAGATGGGGAAATAAAGCCGATTATCCGCTAGGTAATCTCCAGTGGAAAAGAGGACAGGCGTCCCCAAGACCGTCCACCGCTGCAGCAAAGCCCCAGTCCCATAGTGATGGCTCATGCTGCCTTCCTGCTGCCTAGAACAGCTTTAACATCAAGCCCAGTGCGCTGGCAGAGCCATGACTGTTATCAACACCCTGCCAGCCCTGCCCGTTACTGATGCTATGCCAGCCCTGACCATTATCAACACAATGCCAGTCCAGGACCCCAGCAAAGGGCTAACCCTAACCCCAATGCCAATGGCCAGGCATACAGCAAGCTTACTGAGGGAAGCGACTTGTGGACCCGCACCCAATCAAGCCCATGTTTGATAGGAATCCCAAGAAACTGTCCTTTTTCCTGAATCAAATGTGAGTTCACATGAACCT